TAAGCCTGGCGGACTTCAATTCCCAGAATTCCCCAGCCAGCAAAGCTTCGTGTCGGACGGCGAGCAAAGCTGGCTGGGGAATTCTGGGAGTTGAAGTCCACCAGGCTTAAAGTTGCCAAGGTTGGAGACCCCTGCTGTGGTAGACTGATTCTAAAAGATGGAGGCTCTGTTTCTGGCTAATGCGCCCCTACATTCTCACCTGTCTGAAATATGGAGCTGCTGCTATTGGCCTACCTTACAAGGTTATTGTGCAGATTGCTAACGTCACACAATTACAGGTTTTTAAAAATCGAGGTGGGCTGAAATCCTCTTCCCCTTCCTGCTTATGCATACAAAACTTGTGCGGCAACCGCGAACAAGCAAAAATCTCCCTCCTGTCCGCACCCACCTCCAAGCAGCTGGATGAGGCAGGCAGCTGCAGGTAGGCCCGCCAATCCCTATAGCAACCCGGCTCCCTACTTTTTTTTAGCTCCCCTGGGATCGGACTGGTGTAGCGTCACGTCAATCTAAACTATGTGACAGGTCCCACTGCCTGCACTACAAATCGCACAGCTCCCCGCACCCGGCCACTTCAGTTGTTACAAGATGATTGGCCGTTAGGCAAAAGCCCCACCCACCAAAATAAACGCCTGCCACCAGTTGGCTGCTTAGCTGTCACCAAGGCCGCATTCGGCGGGGATTGGTTGACCCCTTATCAGACCCCTCCCCCCCTGCGACCCCTCCCTTCTGTCCCTCACCATTTGCGAACGCGCTCGATCGCCGCCATGACTTTTTTGATGTCATCCTTGGCGCGGCTGCGGGTCTCTGCCCGCACTGAGCGGCCCGACATGGCGCCTGTGGCCCCAGCAGCCCCAGATCCCGCAGCAGCCGCTGTGCCCACATGCGCATGCGCGTGCCGCCCCTCTACCTCCGTGCGTAACGCGTCAGCGCCCCGCCTGAGGAAGAGTATGGGCTCCTTAAGCGCATGCGCAAGGCGGCTTCATGTGCCCGGTGCATAGGGGAGGTGCGAAGCGAGTTGTGGATTGTCTTTTATAACAGGACAGAGGTTTTGTATGGCTTCAGAAGAACTAGTTTTGTTATGTTATTGATTTATTTTAGATGTAATTAGGGGGAAATGCAGTTATACAGTTTCCTAAAGTGATTAGATGCCAGGGAAAGTAATAGAAAAAGCTGTCATAAAGGGTCTATTTTGGATTCTTAAGACCTAACTTCAAATCGTAGGTACAAATGGAGACAGGCTTTCTTTTATGGCAGATGAGTGTTTCCTTTGAGCCTTGGCAGTGGTATCCTGTGGATTTGGTAGCTTTTTAAATTTTTCCAAACTAGCCTAGTTGTGAGATTTCCTGAGGGTGTGTTCTAAGTTTAGCTTTTCAAAGGTAAAACTGCCTTTTAGATTTCTATTGCTGTTTGTGTTGTATTATGACATCACATACTAAAGAGACAGTTGGATTCTCACATTGAATCATGTACTACCCAAAATATTTAGCCTAGTCAAAAGTATTTGAGGATTCACTTCTTGTATCCAGGAAGTTGGGCTATGTGGACCAGTGCTATGACTCAGTAGAAGGTTCCAAGTTCCTAAATTATGAAGGTGACTTGGCTTACCTGGTTCACATATCATAGAACTTTTCAGAGATTGCTACGTTAAGGGAAATTATAATTTGGAAGATGGCATATAGGCTAGGTTTACTTAACTATTTGGTTTATGGTAAGTCTTAAGTATTAAAAATAAGGTTCATGAAATAAACTATAGTGCTCTGGTTCACATATAACATTAAGCCAAAACATTCAACCAAAAACAAAGACACTTTGTAATGTATTTATCCAACCATAATGGTACCTGGTTTAGTTTGAATTACTGGAGCACTATGAGGTCCATATACCAAGTTTATTAAATCTGACAAGCTTTTTGTATAGCCCCTTCCATCTAAAGCACTCTTAAGATACATGGTGGCTACACCCACTAATATGAAAATGTGGGAATTGTTACCCTAATACATCTAAATACTCCAGTTTAGGGATGGTTTGAGATACAGCAAATATTTGCAAACTAGAAGTCAACAATTAAGGCAGCTTTAGAACCAATAGCCTGAATATGCATTACATAGTACAGTATCTTATTTCTGTTGTGGCATGTTCTGGATTTGTAGTTATCCCTTAGAGCAGGGATGTCAAACTGGTGGCCCATGGGCTGGATGCGTTATGTGCAGGCCATGCCCATCCCAGCTCCACAAAGGGGGAAAACATTGCAATACATCACGTGATGCCACGAGTTTGACACCTGTGCCTTAGAGTCACTGTCATGTGGAGGGAAGCAATATGCACATTGTATTCTGGTTATGTTTAGGTCCTCAACCTAATCATATCGTCCACAGACTCTTAGCTATAAAGCTGCCAGAGGGAATGGGAACCTAACCTAGGAATATATTTTTTATATTGTAAGCCAATATTGTAAGCACTTTTAAGACTACTCCTTACAGAGGATTGCAGTAATCCAATGAAGTAAGCTTAGTGAAGGTAATATTAGCTTTCCAGTATAGTCCCATGATATTTGAAAAGTAGAGGTACAGACATCTTCAAATTCAGCTTAGGTAATTCTTGGTGACTTTATGTATACACCATTGTAGTTTTAATGGGAATAGCATGGAAGTGACTTGCCATTGCTTTCTCGTGGATACTTTTTTCAGCTTCTGTCTGGACTCCTGTCCTTTTTTGAAGATACCACTTAAGTCCAACACCATATAGCTTTTTGAGATATGTGAAGGTCAGCTCAGTGCTGTCTACATCTACTCACAAATAAAAGCCTCTGAGTTACCTGGAAGTTAACCCTATCTACACATCCCCAATAAGTGAATTATTTTGAATAATAATTGAGATGATTGAATAATTTTAATAATTTTGAATCCTTGACATACTATGATTTATGATTTGTATCTATTCTTTTTTTCCCACAGAACTCTTCAAATAAAAAATTCAGAAAGGTCTTTAGTTAGTTTAGAATGCATTCCTTGATAACTTCACTTTACTTTGGACATGGTTTTGACAGTGACTGATTTTATCCAAGTAGTTTCAACTCTGTATGCTCAAGTACAGAATGTGAATAATTTTGAATTCTTTGTGCAATATATTATTGAATTTGATTGCGTAGGTAGTATTTGACTTACAATAATTGGGATTGGATTTCCAGTAGTAAGTTGTTATAGTAATAAGTTGGGGCAAACCATGTGACTTCATCCTATTTTAAAACATTTGTTTATGGTGGTCATTAAGAGAACAGTGCAAGTCATAAAGGTAAACCCATAGATTGAATTGGGCAGTTTTTGCCAAAACTGGCAAAATAAGTCATCACTCAAAAAGTCAAAATAAGTCATAAATCACACTCACATGAGCACAGAATGCTGCACTTAGTTGAAAAGGTGAGCCAAGCACCTTGAAGGCAGTCATATGACTCTGAAGGGGAGCACATTTTACAACAGCCAGAAGTGTTTTATGGGTGGGAAATCACCTGTTCTGGGCCCATCATAATTTTAAACAGTTGTTAAGTGACTGACCATAAGTTGAGGACTACTTGTATTTTTGTACTTGATGTTTATTCTTGTTTGTAATCTAAAGATGAGAAAGCTATAAATATACTACTAACCAAACCCATCCTTTTTCAGGGAAGCATGTATCAGAGAATTCACAACATCTCTCAAAACTGAACTGAGTAAAGAGCCTACAAGGAGCTAATGCAGATAACAGTTAGCTAGGTTTTTTTTTCTATTATGTTTCTACAAAAATATAATTAAATGGGATGTGACTCAACCCTACGCACCAATTGACAATTAGAGCAACAGGACAAACTGTCTTGTCTTCCCTGTTCTAAATAGTCTTTAGGAAATCCCAGGAAGCAACAGCTGTGCAAAAAATGTTTTATTAATTCTCATTCTGCATATTAAAAAAACCTAGCCCCAAATTTGCACAGAAAACATGCTTTTTGGAGCAATTCACTTCTTCTTGCCATAGATACTATCCAATGCACTCTGGGCGTCTGTTATTTGTTGCTGCAGTCTCTGCTTAGTAGACTCATTAGAAGCCTTTTTCAGCAGCGTCTTCATTTCTTCCACCACAGCCCTATACCCAGTTGTGTTGTGGAAGACACGGATGGCTCGGTCCCCACAGGAAATCAGGAAGCGACTGTTCACATCAAAGGCTAAGTCTGTTATGTGCTCTCCATGAGCACCTTCAAAGTACTCTTCCTCCTCTCCTCGCTGGGTATTATAGAGAAAGATGCCGGTGCTGCTGGAAATGGCCACTGCCCGTGCATCAGGAGCCAGAGCAATGCGGCAGGGCTCAGTTACCTTGCAACTGCCTGTCAGCAATAGGTAAGGATCTTGTTGCTTCTTGTATTCAACATCTGTGTCCCAGAACTTCCAAGTGCCATCCTTTGAAACTGTTGCCATCCTGTTAGGGTGAGAGAATGGCACATATTATTTAGCAATTTCAAGTTAATACTATAGTTTGATGAATGTACTGGCTTGGCTCTGGTAGGGTCTTTCAGCTTCTTGTTTTTTATGCTTCCTTTCTTCAGTTCTAATGTCCAGAAGCTAACCACAGAGCTCCCCGTGATTATATAATTCAGATCACAAATTTGGGAAATGGTTATGCACATAGACATACTCCGTACGTATGATGTACATGCCTTCAAGTGATCTGATAAAACTCAAATATCCCTCAGTAATATTTTAAGACTTCAGCTGGCCTGCTGGTGTCAGAATGTATCTCTTTTTAGTTTCCTGAGAATTCATTTATTTGATGTATATAGTTGCCTATCTCATATATGTGACTCTGAGCCATTGCCAAGTTAAAAACGTAAAACAATATAACAAAATAATCCTAAGCTTATAATAAAATATATAAAAAGATTAAAAACTGTTTAAAAAAACCTGCAGGAGAGCATACTCAATTGCCCTAGCAATATAGCCACATTTAGGAATGCTAGGCTATAAATTTAAGACATAAAAATATCCATTACATAAAGATTCACATGTCTTTGGAGCATAAAGGCTAAGAAAGGAATGAGGGAAATATGATATGAAGACCTCTAAATAATCACCTTTAGTAAAAATTTCATGTTAATCTTTTGTATAGTCTTGTAGTATCTTAAAATACTTTTTAATATATAAAACATAAAGTTTCAGGGATCATCCTTTGCTTCATTCCCCATTGACTTTGCTTGTCAGAATGTCACAAAAGCTTTTCATATGACCCCGGGGCACTGCAGCTGTCATAAATATGAATCCTACTAAATAAACCAACTGAGAACCTATTAACAAAGGACATTGCTGAAGAATGGACCACTTATTAATTGCATGTACTTAACTCCATTAATTCATAATTTAATATATTTTCTGAGTCTACAGAATACATAAAATTGTGAATCAAATGGCTTGGCTTAAAACAACATAAGCCCCCCACAAAAAACTCTAGCCCCAAATTAATCAAACTTCGCAAGTTGTCTGAATTCATTTGGTAAGTTCTGATTTGAGCTGGCTAAATACTGTATATTGTGGGAACATAGCCATTTAATCTTCAAAGGAAATTCCTCCATTGGTTTATAAAGAGGAAGGAAGCAACTCCAAAGGGCCTTCTCTTCCTCACACCAAGGGTATCAGGAAAACTAGACAGAGGACTCAAAGGGAAAATGTGAACAAGTTATTATAAAAAATGTTATTATTCCATAGAAATGAGAGATAGCTTCTCACCGCCGAGAGTCATTGGAAAAAGCAAAGGAATACACGCCAGCCTTATGCCCCTTCAGCTCAAAGGCTCTGATCACTTCCCGGAAATCTCCACTCTTGCTGAAACACACTTCCCACACCTTTACATCAGGAGTGAATCCACATGAACCAACAAACC